TGTGTGAGAAGGGCAAAGGATGGATGATCGCCAGGACTAACGTTGGGGATGGAGAAGGAGAAAAGCTATCGGATCAGAAACTGCAAATCTGTCCTTGGATATCAACACTTGTTGTGAGTTTGTGAATTCAGTACACAGTCTTTCACAGGAGAAAGCCCAATTCAGTTTTGTAGGAGTATCGAATTATAAGAAAACCCCTAAGCCTGTCCCAGTCTCACCCCATATTCTTCTATCTCCCCTGCACCTGGGCTGGTGCTCTAAGCTTATGACGGTGGGATTAGGTAGCATGAGGGTATTTCAAGGAGATAAATCAGGATGGAAAGATCCTTTATTTATTTACCTATTGTGAAAGGGCAACTGGACAGTTTATAGGAGCAACTTTCAGCTCCGTGAGTATTTCTCAACTTCTGGGTGTGAGTTTGAACAGGATATACTTGAGGGGGCTGGGGGATGGTTTGGCTCCAAAACAAAAAGAACACTGTGGACTTGTGGGCTTGGGCTGGGGCTTTGGATGGAAATGGAAGAGAATATGAAGGAAATACAACCAAACCTCCTTATAATGCCATGTGACAAGGTAATAAGTGAAACTTGATTACTGAAAGGTCACTGAAAACCTTGATTACTAAATTCATACGGAGGGAACTCAAAAGACCCTCCCTTTTCGCGGCTTCAGGGTAAATAGTTTTCTGGGAAAAGAGGGATCCGGACACTAAATGGCCACAGAGCAAACAGTGTTTACTCCCAGGATGTGCTTGAAAAATTGGCTCAGGCACCAAGAGGCTGATGCGAGAGTGTGAGGATGAGGAGAAAGCAAGCCGTGAGCAATTCCTGGTGCAGTGTGGGTTTAACCTCCTCCTCCCTCTGAGGTTGAAGTGTTTATTTGCTCTGTTCTGAAGCAAGGTACTTTTTTATTTTGTTTTTATTTTTTCTTGACTTTGTTTGGGTCTTCCTTGGCCCTCCAAATTATTTGTCTCAGCCTCAGCATAACCTGGGTGACATTTAGAGGCCCAACTCTTTCAGTGAATGGAGAAGACAGTATTCCTCTACCTACCTCACCCTTTCTTAGTCAATCAACAATGAAATTGTCTGCCCATATCTTTGCTGAGAAAGAGGGAACTAGAAGTCTAGGGTGATCATTGCAGTATCAGAGAGCCTGCCTCAAGAACCTTCTGAAACTGTTTTTCCTCAGCTGCAATTTATGGAGGATCATTCTCTGCAGCTTCCTACAGTTGGGCTCTGCTGCCTGGGGTCTAAGGTGACGCTAACCCCTATGCCTTGAAATGTTACTTTGCTGAATCCACTTCTTTCTGCAGAAGAATGGTTTGTAATCTCCAGAAGGGGAAGGGCTAATATTACTTAAAGCAGGAAAACATTCTGCTTCACAAAGAAATTAATTACTTGACACTTTGGAGGCAAAAATATGAACCGTCCTCTTCTAGCTAAAATCAAGTCTGATATTAGATTCTGGAATATTCTGCCCCAGATATGCCTTTGGAATTTCTAGGAGAGCATGGTCAGGGTGTGTTTAGCTGATATCTATGGCTGACAGGACTGACTTCCAACGCAGGAAAGGTCATATGTGTTCGGCTTCCCCTAGAGGTTTTGCAGAGAGAACTGTCAAATCTATGAGAGAAACATTGTAGGAATTGATCAACAGTCCTCAGTACTCAAAAATGAAATGCATATAGTAACAATTATACTCCATAATGCAAATCCTGAAGGCCAACTGAATCCACGGATTACCGGGGCAACTATTATGTAACTCCTTGTGAGGAGTGTTCTTTTGTTTAATGGAGCAAACTTATAATTAGACATGAACTCTATCTTAGCCTGGAGATTCAACTTCCAAGTTATATAAACATGCAGAAGAAATGCGCAAGAAAAAGTGGGAAGTATAATCAGCGGAATATGGAAGTCAAGTGGGATTTGTAATGCTTTGGGGTTTCTGTTAGGGGTGTCAAAGGAATCTAAGAAAGACTTCTAAGACAGAATTTTGAGACCAGGAGTAAGATAATAGTCAGGAGGATTGAGGGAAGCAGAAGAATACTTGGCTGTGTCTATGACAGTTGCGTCTCTGGTGCCTGACAAGGGCTTTTCAGCAGTTCTCCCACAAGGAAGGAGAGTGGGAGAGTCCAGGCGAATATGTGTCACAACCATAGATTTGCTCACATGGCTTCCCTGACTTCCAGAAGGTCTAGTATACTCTTTTTTTGACCACCTTGCACTGTACTTACATTATCTCACTTAATCTTCCCCATAACCCTAAAAGGAAGGTATTATTTGACTCATTTTACAGATGAAATGAGACCCAGAAAGATTATGCAATTTAAGCAAGGTCCCATGGCCAATTTTGTGGAGCAGGAATTTGAAACTGAGTCTATCGAATTCTAAAGAACATACTTGTTACAATGTTCTATCCCCACAAAGTAGTTTGACGGATTAGGGTCACCTTAGGCACTCTTATGGGATTATAGACCAAACGTAGTAGGATGCTAGTTAGGGTTGCCAGGTGAAATAGAAGAAGCCCAGGTAAACTTAAATATCAGATAAACAATATTTATTTTTAGTATAAGTATATCCCTATACATACATATACAAAAATATTTTTTTGTTTATCTGAAAAAAAAATTTGTTTATCTGAAATTCAGATTTAACTGGATGGCCTATATTTTTATTTGCTGAATCTGGCAACCCTAATCCTAGTCAGCTCTCCAGATGAGAGAAAGGAAAGTTTGTGGTTTCTGACTAATTTGAAAGAATTGGGTAGTCCAAAATCCGGACCTGAGAAAAATTCTCTACTTTTCCTCCATGGCTCTGGCAGAGCTGGAATGCGCCAGTTAGTGGTGGCGCCCTCTGGCATCTTGGTGCTCTTGGCTGCCCACCACCGATTCCCATGGTCCCAAACACACTGGGGAGTAGACACTAACATTGCCTGTTGACCGGGGCTGGAGAGGGGGGCCATGGGCCCAAGAATTGGACTTAATGAGCAGAGGAGCTGGTGGCTTATTTCTGAAAGCCACTGAGGGCTTTGTGAGGTGAAGACCAAGTGGTGCCGTCTCTGTGGCTTGATAGAGAAGTCACAGGGTCAAGATCTCATGGCTCAAGGTTCAGGGTATTAATTCAATTTATTCATTCTCTCATTCAACAAATATATATGGCAAATCTACTATGTCACAGGTATTGTTCTAGGTTCTGAGGCTACAGAAATGAACAAAAGCTGTAAAAGTGGTCTTATGAGACATATTGCAGTGGGGATAAAGACAAGATCCCTGAATAAGCCCACCATCCCTGGTTCCAGCTCACAGATTAGTACACATCTTTCTACTGGTGGTGCAGTGGTTAAGAGCTACGGCTGCTAACCAAAACGTCGGAAGTTCAAATCCACCAGGTGCTTCTTGGAAACCCTGTGGGGCAGTTCTACTCTGTCCTATAGTGTCGCTATGAGTTGGAATCGATTCAATGGCAACGAGGTTTTCCTTTCTACTGAAAACGGTAACACTGGCAGGAGAGAATGGAAATAGTAGTTGGGGAAAAGAAAATAAAAAAAAATTATTATACTTGAAGGCGAAGATAACAATTTAAACCTGATTTTGAAATAAAAAAATGCTGTTGAATTTGAAGTTATACAATATAAGATTTGAGGGACATGGAGCGTGGTGGGAAAAGAGAGAGACTGTTAACATAATCCAAAGATTGTCAGGGAGGATTGAAGCTGAGAATATTAACTTAAAGCTATAATGGGTGAAATAAGGAATGCTATGCAAACAAAGCTACCACAAAGGAGATTAGGGAAGGGATTATCTTTGGGGCTTTTCAGAATCTTCCTTCCCAATGTGAATATTTTTAGTGATTAAAAAGGAGAAAGGAAAAATTACCATTTGTTATATTAGTATATTCCTTTTTTATTTTTTTAATGTCTTTAAGAATCATTTTCTTTGATTTGTACTTGAAGAACGACAATTCTGCTGCGAAAGTGAAATTCTGGGAAGACCATACTGGATGATTGGGATAGGAGAAAATATTGAAAATTTCTGAGAAACATCAGGCTAAAGAACCTTGTATGTGGATATGGAGTTAAAGCACAAACTTATTCTTTAATCACTCTGCACTGACTTTTCTATTTGAATGTGTGTGTCTTCAATCAACTTGAAGGCAACGGGTTTGGGTTTTTGGCTTTTGGTCTTGAACATGTATATTGAATACATTCATGGGTGTTGGTATTCCCGGCTCAGAGTTGCCCCTGTCCAGATAATTACCTTGTCATCCTTGAGAACTAGGAGAGAAGTCTACTGATCATATGAGGACGAAATAAAATAAAGTCTGTGAAGAACTGGCTAACCAAAAGCTCGGAGGTTTGAACCCACCAGCCGCTCCACAGGAGAAAGACGTAGTAGTCTGCTTCTGTAAAGATTTCAGCCTGGGAAACCCTATGGGGAAGTTCTACTCTGTCCTATAGGGTCCCTATTATTTAGAATCGACTCAGTGACAATGAGCTTTTAATAAAAACTGAGCCCATAAAATGTGTTCAATAGACATTTAAAATTAGGTTGTTCTGCAGCTGAATGGAAGAATATATAAAACTTGAAAACAGCAAAGTCCCTGGGTGGTGCAAATGGTTAATGCACTCAGCTGCTAACCAAAATGTTGGAGGTTCAAGTCCACCCAGAAGAAAAAGGGCCTGGTGATCTACTTGTGAAAAGTCAGCCACTGAAAACCCTATGGGGCACAGTTTTACTCTGCCACCTGTGGGGTTGCCATGAGTCAGAGTTGACAAGACAGCAACTGGTTAAAGAACATATCAGAGCTGTAAAAGACTGTAGATATCATTTAGTCTATTTGCCTCCCTTTACAGATGGGGAAATTGGTGATCACAGACAGGAAGTACATCATTATAATAAATTTGCGTAGAAAGTTAGTGGCAGACTTATTGGAACAATCAGTCTACTTGGATTTTTTTGAGTTTTTATAAACTGTCAGTTTACACTCCACTATCTTGAGGGTCTCCATTGATTTCTACCGTGTTTTTCTTTAAAATGCCATTAAAAGATAACTTCTCTCCTGTTGGGTCAACAAAAATACTGACCTTTTCTATCAAAGTGTTTTCTTCTCTGGTTTACAGCGACAGTGACAGCGACCATAATAACTTATGGTCCCCCTACCTTAAAGAATCTTATTTTCTCTCATTTACTGTCTAAGGTGCCTGGAAGGGAAAGGTCAGCCACACAAGGATTGCCAAAATGAGTGACACCACTACTCTGGCTCCTCCAGCTTCAAGCCAGGGTCCCACCACCCCACGCAAAGGTCCCCCGAAGTTCAAGCAGAGGCAAACTCGCCAGTTCAAAAGCAAACCTCCTAAGAAAGGTGTGAAAGGGTAAGAATGAGATGAAAAGGGAAACTTTCTCTTGTCCTTCTCCCCCCACTCCGCACAAGGCTGCTTTGGTTTGGAGTAATTAATGCTCACAATATACAACAAACTTATAAAGTTTCCAACCTCTGCTCTGTTTTCTTCTCTAACTCAGTCTTTGCTGCATCATGTCTTTGGCCCTGGAATTCTTTCATCTCAGCTCCCAGGTCTATGACCAAATTTAACATGGCAAATGGAGTCCTTCACAATCTCCTCTGACTTGACCTTCCAGATTTTCTTGACCACTCCCCTGAGCCTACTGTCTTAAGCTAGGTTCTCTAGAGAAGAAAAAACAATGCAGTGTAAAAATAAGTATTTGTAGAGATTTATATAAAGGAAAAGGCTAACACAGTTGTAGGGGCTGGAACATCCCAAGTCCGTGGGTCAGGCTGGAGGCTTCTCCTGACTCACATAGCTGAAGGTGCTGGCGAATCCAAGATTGGAAGGTCAGATAGCAGGCCTCTGGCTCACAGGCTGTGGGGCTGATGAATCCCAAGATTGACAGGTAAGATGGCAGGTAAGCTCCTAGCTCAAGCCCCAAGAACTGGAGATCAGATGAACAGGGGCCAATTGCAAGATCCAGAGCAAACAAAAGCCAGTGAGCCTTACCAGAAAGTCCAACTATATTGGATGCAGGCCACACTCCCACGGAAACGCCCTTTCAACTGATTGGCTATTCACAAAAGATCTCATCATAAAGGTGATCACATATATCAGATCTCATTATGGACATGATTACATCATTAAAAAAGCCAAAGTATATCATAACTGCAAAACCACTGAGGATCATGGCCCAGCCAACTTGACACAAACCTTAACCATCACAGTCCATCCCTTGTCAACTCGGCGCCTGTGAACATCTCCTGGAATTAGTGTCAGTTCAGAGCCAGTATCCAGTAATCCCTGAAAAGTCTGATTATTTCCTTTTCCCCAGTGAACAATCACTCTTGTAAAAGGCTGTAGATCCCTTTGGGCAAGGCTGGGAGAAAGATTAACAGTATAAATTTTCGGCAGTGTAGTGGGGTCCTTCCTCAAGGGACCCAACCTCCCCTTCATTCATGGGGCTGCGAGTCTGTAAACTGGCTCAAGTTCGGGAATTGGTTGAGGGGCTGTGACTCTCTATTCTGATGATTCAAGTTAGATTACCCTTCACTTGACCTAGAAGTCTTCCTCTTGTACAGACCAAGTAAATATTTAGTAGATTTCCCGTCTATTTCACTCCGAAGGACACCATGAGTAGGTAGCCAATGCCATAAGTCCATATGAGTCAGAATATTCTTACTACTGCTTTGGCTTCACTGTTCATTATAGTAACCACACCCATCTTGTCTTTGCAGACTGAGTGCAGCCACTGGGCCCCTATCTCCATGGGGTCCAATCAGCCCCATTGTAGTTAAATGTCTTAATTCAGTTAGGGCAGTTCCCACAATCAAATCTGACTTACATAAAATAGCAATCACAGCAGTCTTCAAGGATGCTGGGGCTTCCTTCACAAATTTGTTCCTCACAGTTGTGATAAAAGGTGTGTCCTCTGGGCACTCCATGTGTGGATCTGTGGGTCTAATCTGATAAATCCTCTCTAACATGCCAATTTCCCTTAGCCTTTGGATACCTTCTTTTACAGTATACCAGGGCAGAACATGTACTTCAACTTGATTTAGTGTAGGCCACTATGTAATCTATGCTTCAGCGACCCAACCAAATAAACAGTTAGATCCTTTCCTAACCTCTCAAGCTGAAACACTGAATGAAGAATCTGTGCTTAGTGGGCCCAGATAAGTAAACTCAGACTGATCCATTTTTATGTTCCTTGCACCATTATCCCACACCCTTCATAGCCATTCCCACACATGTTCCCCAGGTTTCTGTTTATACATATTAGAAAAGCCAAGCAGTTCTTTTGCAATGTAGTGTATCTCCTCCTGGGTCACACTTTGTATTTCACCTTTTGGGGCTCGCTGGTACTTAAGTTTAGCTATAGGTCTAGAAGCCAAAACTGGTGGTGGGAATGTGTTTTTAGAACATTCAGCATTGTTTTATAAGGCATCTTCCTCAGGTGATGCCCCAAGCAACAACTCAGACAAAGGCTCTTCAGACATAGCTGGGTTAACCCCATCCGATGGGGGTGAAGGGGCTAATGGATTTACTGGGGGGCGTGGCTTTGTTGACAAAAATGGAGTAATCTCTTCAGATGGGAGTGAGAGGCCTGGTTCTGTTGGCAGGAGAGTTTCAATGGAATTTAGGGGCTCAGTGTCCCCAGCTTCCTGATTATCCACCCGTATGTTCCCATCTCAAGTGTCAGGATTCCATTTCTTCCCAATCAATGCCCTCACTTTAACTTCAGACACCACTCAAAGTTGGGAATTCAGTTGATGTTGTAATTTAGCCACTCTTACGATAAGACTCTAGGTTTGGCTTTTGGCAATATCAGCTCTGTTACTACAAGAAATAAGGTTTTCTTTCAAGGCACAAGTGGAAACTTTGAGGTCGTTCAGGTGGCACTTGAGCTTTGAGTCTGAAGCCCTGAGCTCATCTTTATCTTTCACCACTTTGTCTAGGGAAAGTGGGACCAATCGACCAGCCTCATTATACTTATCATTATTACAAAATTGTAGAAAGGTTTCAAACATGTGATAACCCAGAACCTTGCCTCTCACCCATACTGATTGGTGGTGGTATTTTGGGTATTGCTATTGCCACCTCACGACATGGATTAGCAGTGCCCTCTTTACTACTGGAAACAGAGTCATCAATATCTTTAAGACTAACTGGACTTGGGACCCTATTTACAAAACTCATCTTTACAATTTTGTTTCTCAAGAACCACTCTTGGTACCAAATGTCTTAGGCTGGGTTCTCCAGAGAAGCAAAACCAATGCAGCATATAAGTGTATATATAGAGAGATTTATATCAAGGAAATAGCTCATGCAGTTGTAGAGGCTAGAATGTCCCAGATCTGTGGGTCAGGCTGGAGGCTGCTCCTGACTCATATAGTTGCAGGTGTTGGTGAATCCAAGATCAGAAGGTCAGATAGCAGGCCTCTGGCTCACAGGCTGTGGAGGCTGACGAAACCCAAAATTGACAGGTAAGACAACAGGTAAGCTGCTAGCTCAAGCCCCAAGAAGCAGAGGTCAGATGAACAAGAGCCAGTTGCAGAATCCAGAGTGAGCAGAAGCCAGTGAGCCTTGCCAGAAAGTCCACCTATATTGGATGCAGGCCACACTCCCAAGGAACTCCCTTTCAACTGATTGACTGCTCACAACAGATCTCATCATGATGGTGATCACATTATATCAGATCTCATTATGGGCATTATTACATCATTAAAAAGCTAAACTACATCATAACTGCCAAACCACTGAGAATCATGGCCCAGCCAAGTTGACACACAATCTTAACCATCACACCTACATACCTTGTTCTCCAGTCTGGAATACAGAACCACTGGCCATTTCCAGAACAAACTCTTTACTTTTATGACTTCAAATCTTTAATGCTTTCAATTCTTTGCTTTTTTCTTTCTCTCCTCGGCATACTCCTATTCCTTTTCAACATATAGCTCATATGTTAATTTCTTTTTAGAGTCATTACTGACTATCTTAGGCAAACTGTATCATAATTTCTAGGTTTGAATTTTGTACATTCAGCTATCATAACTCATATTATTTTATATCACATTTATTTATTTAAATCCATTTCCTAAGACTGTGACCCCTCAGAGACCATTTGTTTGTTTTTGCCTTAATTCCCTACGCTTAACATAATGCCTGGTACATAGTAGATGTTCAACAAATGCTTCTGGATAATTTCTATTTTAAAAAATGAAGCTTGACTAAATTGTTCCACCGATAATTCTTTTCGGTTCTTGTCCTAGACTATGTTTTTACAGGGGATAAACATCCCTCCAAGGGGCACATCGTGTAAAACCTGCCTGTGTGCCATCTTCTTTGCTCCAGCTCAATGCAAATAATGAGAGTTTTACAAATATAAAAACTTAAACGACTTCTTCTTCTTCCCCCTCAAAACAGGAAACAGTCCAAATGAATCAGTCCAGGGTCCCTTTGCGCTGATCTCAGCTAATTTGTCTTTTATTCATTTACTTATTTTTCATAGGTTTGGAGATGACATCCCAGGCATGGAGGGGCTAGGAACAGGTGAGCCACCAGGGGTTTAGTGAGGAATTTATTCTCGAGAAATCTACCTTTTTATACTTCCAGCCTCAAGGGGTAGTTGAAAGTGATAAGAATACATAACACAGCAGATCCTTTGAGGACATAGAAATGTAGGGGTTTAATTCAACCTCTTAAGTAAGTAAGTGTGTGCCTACACGCAAAGACCCTTTAAAAGAAAATCAGGCTAGGTCCAAAGTTTAATGAATTGGGCTTGATTTGTTAAACATCTAGTGAGGACATATAATGGTGAATTATAAACCTTTACGGTAGAAAGATTCTCAGAGTTAGTCTAGCCCAGCTTCTTTTTTTTTTCTTTTTTTTCCGGTCAGAAGAGAAATCTGAGACGTAGAGGAATTAAAGTGACAATATAAGTCCACAGAGTGAGCTGTTGGAAATAAGAGTAGAGCCTGGAGGACCTTTCTACACCATCAGGCAAACCACTCCCCGTACCACCTTCCTCTTTTTATACATCTGTTACGACTCAGAAGGGGGCTGCGCACACTGAATGCATCCAGCACACTGTTGACAAATGGCGACTCTCAAAGCAATCAGTGTCTTACCAGGCAATTCTCAGTGCATTAGTTTTTTTTGCAGCCAAATGCCACTCCTGGATCTCAAACAATTTGTTCCAACCCCTTTCCAAAGCTCATTTGCTATTCTTCTAAATAAACTGCTTCTGTATTTTGGCCAGGTCTAGAGAAGGCCAGCAAATTCACTTTAGACTCTGGAAGATATGCTTGACTCTGCCAATATCTTCGGAATAGTGAGGAATTTTACACTGAGAGAAGGTTTGAGGTCTTTTGACATCGTTTCTACTTTCTTCTCTACAACTGTGTGATTTTTAATTAGTTGTTTAACTTCTCTAAAGAGCCCTGGTGGTGCAGTGGTTAAGCATTTGGTTGCTAACCGAAAGATTGGCAGTTTGAACCCACCAGCTGCTCTGCAGGAGGAAGATGTGGCAGTCTACTCCCATAGATTTACAGCCTTAGAAACCCTACGGGGCAGTTCTACTGTCCTGTATGGTTGCTATCAGTCAGTATAGATTCAAAGATGGCAATGGGTTGGTTTAACCTCTCTAGGTGTCAGCCAGCTTCTCTGTAACTCAGGGATAACAGCATCTTATTGCCTGAAGCAAGGGGCTGAATTAGATAAAGGCTTTATATTGCCTGTAAGTATGCAATTGGATATAGCCATTTCAAAATGTAAAGTAACTGAAGAGCAAGTCAAAGAAGTCTAAGGAACCTATGAGGATTCGGTAGGGGGTTAGGAGACTGTGGATTTCCAGACCATGGCAATTTTGTAAAGAGCATCTATTTCTCCTTTTAACCCTTGGCCTGACTAGAATTCCCTTCTTGGTGGCTATGCTTTGCAGAAACTCTGTACCATCAGTGAGCTGTATCCCCACAGGATGGTCCCAGTCGAAAGCTGTAGGTCAACTCTCCAAAGAGGACGTTGAATGATACCAACAGAGATGCCTTGGGGGCCCTGTTCTGGGGGTGTCAGAGCCATGAAGAGGAATAAATAAATGATTGTCTGACCTTTCCTGGGCTAGATAACTTCCCAGTGATCGGACAATGACTAGGAGAGAGCAGTAAGGTATCCCTATCTGAAGGATGTCTTTTTGAGCAGAAGAGGTTCTTCTGGGGATGAGGTTGGCTTACATGTTCTTCTTCCCTCTCTTGCAGATATCACGGTGATTTGTCCCTGGGAAGCTTTCAGTCACCTGGAATTACATGAGCTGGCTCAGTTTGGGATTATCTGAGGCATCAGAGGTTCTGTGACTCTCAACAGCATCTGCAGTAACTTTAACTGTTTTTGCCCTATTGACTTGTCAGAAGTCTTGAAATTCAGCTGTTGGGAAATGGTTTCTTTGGCTCACACAGTCGTTTCCCATCAGTTACCCCTAAGGTTTCTTCTAGCGTCAGATGCTCTCTTGCACTATAGCTCAGATCAGAACGGTGGACAAGAACCTGCTCCTGCGGGGGCATTTCAAATTTTGCCACCTTTTCCTGTCGTCTACTTATAAGCAATCAACATTTCTTATGTTTTGCTTATTTGTAAGTCCTTCAAATCTGTTTTTGCTAGGCATTCATTATAGTTAGTAGCAGACTTTCAAAAAAAATTCAGGTCACTCCTTTCCCCTTCTCGTTTAATAAAGGAGATGTTACCTGAAATCTTATGGTGGACTAGTATTGAATGCTGTATGTAAACACCTGACTCCCTGTTCTGAGAGCCAATTGGACAAAGAAGCATCATACAGGAAATAAGCACAATGCGTGCAGAAGAGCATAACATCAAGTGTGAAGCCCTGACATTGCTTTGTAAATTTGTAAATCACACGATGTCTGGCCCTAAATACTATTGAATTAGGTTATCCCTGCGGTCCCATGAAGGTTTAAATTTTATGGTTCAAAGTTGATGGAGGACTAAGGTTTAACTCAGAACTCTTGGCACTGTGAGCCTTTTTCAGTGACCTGATTCAGGAATGTTCTCTTTCACAGCATCCCCTAAACGAAATGATTTCATCGAGTGGCTTAAGGTGAGAGTCACAGGTTATCTGTGACTGGCTTTGTGCACATCTATAAGAAATAATCTTTAAACCATCAATTGCAGTGATTTATATACTATAAGGTTTAGACTTAGAGGCAAAGGATAGGTAGTTAAACTCTCCAAACAAGATGATGGTTTGTTTCACCCTCAAAGTTGTGTCAAATGAAATGTACCAATAGCTTTCTTTCCCCAGTACTTCCAATGCAGTTAGGCAATTCAAATGCTGCCTCGGTCTGACTTGGACTCTTCAGTACTAACAGTGTTAATTTCTCCATTTCAGTTTTGTAATCTGTGGTAAATGAATGTGGTAAACTAACTGAAAAGAGATACAGGACGATAGATTAGAAGGTGATATGGGCTCTAGTTCTGGCTCTGCCATTAAATTGCTGTATAATCTTGGACAAAACCTCACCATTTGGACCCTTCCATTACCTGAATTCTAAGGTTCCTGGTAGTTATAATTCTATGAGTTTGAGATTCTCAGAGTCTGAGCATAAGAATTAGAGGAGCTCAGCACTTCAGAAAATTTGTTCTGCTGCAGTATGGTAAACGAGGCTCTGTGCTAACTATTTTACACAAATCACCAACTTGCCTAGTGGCCAGAAAACTAGAAGTACAAAAGGAAAAGTAAGGTGAAAATTCAAAAGTGGACCCATGACATAAAAGGAAGTGTAGCAATATGTGGGCTTCCTCCTATGGCAGGAACTCCTGCCTGCACCAGTGCACCTGCTTTCACTCCTGCCAAAGCTGGCCCAGGCCTCTCACAACACCTGCTCCACTTGATGGCCAATGCTTCTGTCTCTACTTGTTCATTCTAGTGTGATTTCAGTTAGGGAGGCCTGTATTCTTCTTCAGATGAGTGAAACTCTGGACAACATTTGGCTTATTTTGCAAACGTTTCTTTTGTTGAAACAATGGTGTTGAAAACAGAATATATCCAAAGAACACAACCAGTAGTCAAGATGGAGAAGGACCTAGAAACTATGCCATATGGGGAAATGTTGAAGGAACTGATAATGTTTAAATGATAACTGATAGCAAATATTTAAAACGTTATAAAGAGCAGGATAAAGCAGATCTATTTCATTTAAGATCCCAGCGTAGTGGTAAGCTGTAGTAGATACGGCAGCCCTGGTGGTGCAAACAATTAGGTTCTTGGCTACTAACCAAAAGGTTGGTAGTTCAAACCCATCCAGAGGCACCTCAGAAGACTGGCCTGGCAATCTGCTTCCAAAAGTTCACAGCCTTGAAAACCCTATGGAGCGGTTCTATTCTGCACACATGGGGTCGCCATTAGTTGGAGTTAACTCGGTGGCATCTGGTTTGGTTGTTTTGGTAGTAGACATAATTTAAGGTCCCTTCAAACTAATGGGGAGTCCTGATGGCACAATGCTTAAGAGCTTGGCTACTAACCAAAAGGTTGGCAGTTTGAATCCACCAGCCACTCCTTGGAAACCCTATGGGGCAGTTCTACTCTGCCCTGTAGGGTCACTATAAGTTGGAATTGACTTGATGGCAGTGGGTTTAGTTATTATTTTTTTTCCCCAAACTATAGGATTCTATTATTTTTAAGTACCAGAGGAAATCCCTTAACATATAAACAGCACATATGAAAAAGATAAAAGTAAGGTATTGTCCCAGTCAGGATTCTGGCAGCAAAGAGATGGCATCCTCGGACAGGGTAATTGAGGAAAGCTTAATAAAGTGACTATTTACAAAGGCTTGGGAAGGGTTAAGAAGAGTCTACAAAGCTTGGTGCAGGAACTCGGGGCTAGCAACAGCCTGGGAGCCACACCAACATTGGCCTAAAGGAAGCCAAAGACAGGAGATCTAACTGTAAGAGAGGGCCCCTAGCAGGGCTGTAGCCTTCAAGAGAGGGATGCAGCCAACCCATACTGATCCTAAAGGTAAGTAGGAGAAGGGGGGCAAGGCTGATAAATACCTCATCGTTGTTCTTCTTCTACCCTCCACTCTCCTGTTAATGCCTCCCATTGGCTGAACCCAACTGGAAGTCAGAGGGCAAAGGAAACCATTGATGCAGTCAGCAAAGGACACTCCAGCAGCAGAGAACAGGTGGAGACAGGTAGAGAATGATGGGAATGGCAAAAGGGAAATATCCAGTGCAGCACTAGCACAGAAGAGCAGATACAAGGACTGTGGTGTTCAGTGATTCTCAGCCAGACCTGGAAAATGGACACGGACGGGTATGCTTAAAACCTCCAAAGGTGATTCTGATGCAAACCACTGGAGTGGAGGAAGGACAATATTAAATAGGAAGAATAAATAGGAAGAACACAGTGGACAAAAGAGAAGAATAGCAGAAGTAAATTTTAGTCATAGAATTTTAGGGCTTGGGGGATTTTCTGAAATATTCTGAAAGTTTCCTGATAAGAAATGCTTACGTTCACTTGTTAAAAACACACAAATTTCGGGCCCTACTCCAGATTTTCTGAATAAGAATCTCCAGGGACGAGGTCTTGGAATCTGTATTTTAAATAAGAGGTCCAGGTGATACCTATATTTGTACCAATTTGAAAACCCAGATGTAGTTCAAGCCTACATTTTATACATTAGGAATGAGCTAATTCTTAACAAATTGAACCTGTTCTACTTGACTCCAATAGCACATGTAATACGTGGGAGAACAGGGGCTAATTTTTGAGTGTTCTGTCTGTTTTCCTGACTGGTAAAATAGATATGCCTCACCACTCCAGATCTAACCCAGTTAAACACTCCTTCAATTTCAGATAATATCACACGGTTCAGAATTTAAGAGTTGGGCTGAAGCACACTAAGAAGTATGGGGCTGAATGGACACCATTATTGTTCAGGGCTGACCACTTGCCATTGCCTCACACAGCCAACCTCTCTCCACAGCCTTTGTCTCTCCCTGTTCTCAGCTGCCTTTTCTGACTAGAGTAGGGGAGACTAGGGAAGAGCTTTACTCTTGGTCGTTGGAGGCAGTGACCCTCACTTATCCTGCACCCTGGTCTTGTTTGCTCACATCACTGGGTAGAAGTTGGGGCTGATGGTGCTGGTAATCTAGGCACCCACCCTCACATCAGTGGCATTACAGTCAGAGTAGGAAGCAGTATATAAGGAGAAAATGCCCCTCTGGACTGCTGTACCCTCAGTGAACATACATAACTGTTAGTAAACAATTGCTACTGTACAGTTGGCCACTACTACGAGAAAAGCAAGAATCATCATAAACTGAAGAACGGAGGGAAATCGTTTTCTCAACAACTGAAGTAAAGAGAAAACACACATACACAAGAACAATCAATAAGACCAATATGTAACGCAGGGGGAAAAACCATCATATAAGACTAAACAACATAAAAAGTAATGTTAGAGAGTGGGGGCCGAGATGGCGGAGTAGTCAGACACCACCAGTGGTCCCTCTTACAAACAAAGACCCCAAAAAACAAGTGAATTGATTGTATATGACAACCTAGAAGCCCTGAATATCAAAGGCAAAGTTGAGGAATCAGACCGAGTGGCAGGGGGAGAGAGAGATGGCTCAGAAGCAGCGAGGGGTTGCCAGACCAGACCCAGTGGGAGCCAGCACTCTACGGGCCGGATTGGCTCATGTGCATGGTGAGGCAAGCAGTGGCATTCAGGACGTATTTTCCATGTCAGGAGAGACGGAGCAGCAGAGTCTGCTCAGGCCTCCAAGCTAGTGAAAAGCAGCACTCAATCAGCAAAAGATAAGTACATGCATTTAATCTACCACACGGATCATAAAACACCCCATTTGGGAAGAACCTCTCTCCCATTCACCTGCTTCCTCCCCTCTCTGCACTGTCCAGGACCAGCTTCAGCAATTGCCGAGTTCCCTGGGCCAGAAGTAGGACCCATTACACACCCTGAGCCATTCTCCGTGCCTTGGAGAGGAAACAAATTAACAAACAGGAAAAAATAATGTGCCAGCTCCCCTAAGCTGGGAACTTAGGGCAGGCACAGCTCCTTTGCCTAGGCACAGGCATAAGGGGTCCACGGACTTTGAATGCCTTTCACCCCTGCATAGACTGTGTGGGCCCATTTCAACAGCATAAGCCCTCATTGGCACAGTACAACAGGGTATATACCTGAAGCCTAACTTCACTGTATCAGCTGTATGGTGGAGTGGCAGGTCCGTGACATTTGATACTGCTCTGACCCTTAAGCAGGGTCCTCACTTACCCACATCAGGGGCCTGAGGACTGGTGA